CGCCAGTTAAATCCACCACTCTTCATAGTTTCCTGTCTTAAAACTAGTTTTTAGACTTGCTCTAAGCTGGTAAACATCTGAGACATTCCAACCATGAATTTATTGCTTTTGAACAGTGAGTGAACCACAGGGGAGCAGAGAATTAAATTTCTTCTTGACAAACACATATAGATCAGATTTTGAATAATTATCTTGGTTATCAAAAATTTCAGACATTAATATATATACACTCACCACTATATAATACTTTATAAGTGGTGATGAAATGAACAGGAAAATCATACAGCCATAAGATGGAAAAGAAATATTTATTCAAAAACTGAGTAGCACACTCAATTTGGCATACAGATTAAAAAAACTTTGCATAATTTTGTACAAGTTATGATAGATGTGGTTCTAGAATTTTATAGCTCTACCCATCAAACTCTTTTTTATTCTATATATACTAAATTCTATTTTTAATACTTTCACCACATGTTTACTAATTGAAGTTCACTTTTTAAAGATTGGACTTGTACCAGAGAACAATATAACTTAATTGCTACACATGTACTCCGAGGCTGAGAGGCATCGGTATTTTCAGCTGACCTTTAACAGGAAAGAATATGCTAGTGTACTGGATTAAAGTCAAGTCTCCCAAGAGAATATAGAACTCTATTTTCAGTGTTATATAATTGTCTCTGTGCAATGCTTTCTAAAAATGAAAATAATAAGAATTTTATCAAAGTTTCTCTTTCCTGGTCTATCTTTCTTTCTCTCTAGATAGATCCTTGGAATGGGAGTCTGTGGACCTCGAGGACCTAATGCATTTCTTAGAACACAGTAAGCGCTCAATATGTGCTTGTTCTTCCTTGATTCCCCGGCACAGATAGATAGCTGGAGATTTAACTGGGCAAAACCTGTTTGCTCTGTGTCCTGAACTTTCCTCACCTCATGTTAAGCAGTACAGAGCTTGCTAATTTCTGTCTTGGGGCCCCACACTTCTGGATATCCTGGAATCTATAATCTGAGCCTCAGAACCTAGTTACCCACAAAAGTTCACACAAGGAAATGTTTAAACTCATTTAATGCTCATTATTACAGTCTCCTCCACAACCTTTGAGCTATAGCAACCAGCTTTTGGACAAATAATTTTGTCTTTTTCTTTAACAAGATGCTTTATTATATTAAGAATTTTGGGCTGGGGAAATAGCTCAGTAGAATAAGCGCTTGCCTGGCAAGCACAGGGTCCTCAGTTCAAACAGTGTTACAAAAAAATTATTCTTCCATATAAATAGACTATATATTTTCTTCTAACTATGTGAACAAAGCCATTTACATTGTAAACATTTATATTTTTAAAAAATTTATTGGTCTTAACGTAATTTTCAAGAAATTGTGTACTTCCAATACTATTTTAGGTTTTGAAAATATTTCTGCAATACCTGTGTTGATCAAGACATGTGGAAAATATAATAATTTGAGGCCCATATAAAATTTATTTATTAAATGCTTCCTTTTTCATTTAGTGAAAGACAAATGCGGGACATAGAGGAGATACTAAACAGCTCTCCATAGACCAAAGTCCTTCTTAGAAATTTATCTACTTCTGTTGCTACCAAAAACATCTTTAGCAATGAGTTTTATCCCACCCAGGAACTGAAATAGTTTAAGCACATCTTATTCCTTCAGGCAAGTTCTGGTAAAAAAAATAGTTTTTCATCTCAATATTTTTAAATATTTTCTGGAGCTATGCAGTCAGGACAGATACCCAATCCTATTCTCTTATCGTTCTGAGAAAATAAGTTGTAGCCAGAAAATAATCAACCTTGGAAACTAGAGATCAAAAATGCCAGCCCTCGCCGGCCTATCCTCACTTTCCCAACTTATGAGTAGCCAGCGAGCAAGAGAACAGCGAGGGCAGGTGCAGGGAGGGCAGGCCCATCCGGGCTGGGACTTTTTAATCTCTACTTTTGGGGGGGATTATTTTCTGGCTAGATTTTATTTAAATAAACAGTTTTCACCTAAGTGAACTTCAGTAGTATCTAATTTTGCACAGATGAAAATCAGTTTGGTTTTAATTTTCCAGTCTTGTGAGCTACTCTGATCAGCTATTTTGGGTACCAAATTTAGTAACATTAAGTGTTTTTCAGTTATTCTTAAAAATGGAATCATCCTCAAAGCATGGAAATTCTCCTTTTGAGTATCTTTAAGAGTAGGATATATAAATGCCTACGGTTGTATTTAACACAATTCCAAAAAGGTTTTGATCAGTAGTGGAGTCCCCAACTCGTGCCAACCTCAAAAGCATTTAACTCCAAAAGGCAAATAGTGTTCAGATGTACGTATAAGGATATGTTTATCCAAAAGTCAGTCATATTAACATCAATATTGATGTTTATATAAAATTCTCCACAAACGGAAAATTTGTTCTTTAGCCAAATTAAAGAAACCAAAAGGCTTCTTTACTACTAGCTAAGAAGCTGCCAATTATAATGTTCTTAAAGAAAAATGTTCTAACATTCTTGTGTAGTATATTTTTATTGAAATAATTTCAGCTAAAACATTTTCCTCAAAAGATGCCATTAGCAAGACCTTTAAAAGCAAAAAAAAAAAAAAAATAAAATTAGAATCTTTGTTTCTTCATCACAACTTTTTCTTTTCTTTAATTTGGCTTATAGCACCATCTAAAAAGTTGATAAACATTTCACTGACGTGTAGCCTCTAGTTGCAGAGCTCTATGTGGCTTTCTGTTTGAGATAGCTATTTGCATTATAAAGGGTGGTCATCATGCTTTGTGTAAAATTGGTCTTCTTAACATTAGGTTGGATTTTACTTATCTCTCAAATGAAGAAATTCGGACCCATAAGCAGATGAAAAAAATTATAATCAACTTAAAAATCTAAGCATCCCCCAAACAATTTTAAAGATACTAATTGATTCAAGCAATCCAATTAGTTTCTCCTTTTTGCTTATATTTAACTGCAGGGCAAGCACATTTTATATGAGATTTAAAAAGAAAACCTGTCATTCTGGAAACAAAGCCACAAAAACATATCATGCTTTAGCCTATTTTTGGCTTTTATTTTCTGCTAAAAATTACAGTAATGTATTCTCTTTTTGTTGAGGTTAACAAAAATTGTTCACTAAATATGACTTTTAACATAAATACCCATTTATAGTTTTTGTTCACATTCTTACTTCTGCTTTCTGATATATATCACATTTTTGTTAAGGTCATGTGAATGACACAAAAACTTGGCAAATAATACTGATTTTAAAGTTTCAAGAACACATACCATTCTGTGAACTCACACTACAAGACTGTATCTATTACAAGCAAAACTGGCTTCATGAAATATCTTTTTTAAACCACTTTTAATTAATCATAATTTTCTTATACTAAACTGGAAACATTGGTGCATCCCAGAAAAATATTATCATTTCTTAGAGATCAGAGAATTAATATAGAAAAGCTAAAATTATCCTTTGGAGAAAAAATGATATCAGTAAATAATTGTCTGTTTTTACTATGGGAAATAGTCATGTATAGCAGATGTAATGGAGAGAAGCTAATTTAATCATGTGTTTAAAAAATTTTTTTAGTACTTGGAGTCAAACTCAAGACCTTGATCTTGCCAGGCAGGTGTTGTGTCACTGAGTTATATCCCTGGCCCCTTCTCTTTTCTGATACTGGGAAAAAGCTAATATGATGTTAAAAGTGTAAAAAGTTTCTATTGTTATTAAAAATATCTTATTGGAATGGACAGTAAAATTTTAAAATTAGACACACTTTAATTATTAAAATTAGAATGCCTTGAGATGAATAGTTGAATTAAAATATACTTAACATATTGAGAAATTCAAAAGAAACTAAAAGATCACATTTCTTCTTAGGAGAGTAGTATGTGTCCATTGCTTTAAAGAGCTTGACAAGGGAAAATACATATTATTTAAAATCCCAGATTTGATGGAACTACATAAGCCTGAGTCTTTGCAATTATTCCAACTGGGACAGAATGTTTCTATTTTTACAGAGCTGTGATTGAATGAAGTTTAATGATTTGCTTAAATTGACCTATTTTCATGCTTTAGTACATGTGCCATAGAATATTTACCCAGACTCCAGTCTTTGCTTTTTATATTTTTAAGAATTCTAAAATCCTTAAACATGCACCAGAGCTATTTTATAGGAATTTTTGCAGGAGAAAAACTGTACATGGAGGCTCCTTCATTTGTTTTACTTTATGCTCCTATAATTTGCTTTGGGATTTGCCAGAGACTGTGAGCAGGTAGTTGTAACAAAACCGGGCAAACATGGAGAAGTGTTCAAAATTTGAATTACAGATTTCCAGATAGATAAGAACACCCATTTTTTTTTCTTAGTTTCAGAAGCAAATTTGAAAGGTCAAATACTCCTCTGTCATTGCTCGTTTAGAAATTTCATGTCAAAGCCCAAGCGCACGTTGAAATTCCAACTTACATAAAGCTACCCTTGCTTAAAAGCTTTTTCTTAGTAAAGCAAAACAAGAAGGAAAGAAAGAAAGAAAGAAAGGAATGAGGGAAGAAAAAAAGAAAGAAAATAGGAATGATGAAAAGAAAGGAGGCAAGGAATGATGAAAGAAAAGAGATTTATGAAATGGGCATGGTGCCACTGTTACAGATGGGTATAGTTATAGGCAGTCGAGAGAGGTCCATAATCATCAGGGAGGAGAAGGGCCAAAAGCAATCTTGATTTGGAATCTCCTAAACTTTTGTGTTTCCTGAGATTCAATTTTAGTTTTAGATGAGAGGATGTTATTTCTCTTACATTAAAAGGAGGTTGTTGAATGGAGTCTTTTTTTGGTTCTTTAATCTCAACAATGTTCATGAGATTCTTTATCTAAGCTGGTTTAGAATCATCTCTTACTACCTACTGCTGTATAATTTTGCATTTTAATAACTGGAATATATTTGTTGTAGTATTTGTACAAGCCTTTATTTATATCAAATATCCATAAACAGTAAGATCTAAATTAAAGGAAAAACCAGCAAAATAGTCATATAAAATTGCTTTCTCTTTTCTTTCCTTTATGAAACAAAATTATACATATTTATGGTTTAATTTTAGATGATATAAATAAGAAGAGGAACTATCCAATGAACAAAGCTTACTTCTACTTTAGATGGATGCCACTTTGAATACATAATTACTAGATGAAAATGAATATAGATTTGGATCATTTTCCACTTAGTTAAACACATAAACATGCACATGTTCTGATAAAAAATAATTGACACTAATAATTTTCTCCTAAATTAATAAAGAAAATACTTAATTCTACTTAATATATGGAATATTCTAAGATTTTGTCTCAAATAAAAATAGAATATTACTTAAACTTCCAGTTCTTTGTATTTTTATTATCCACTCTAATTCACTTTATTCATAAAGAAGAAAAGGAGACAGAAAATATAAGTAACTTACCTAAAACTTGATTACAAATTTAAAGACAGATCCAGGGGCCAATACACATTCCAGCACCATTTTTTTCTTTTCTTTCTTTCTTTCTTTCTTTCTTTCTTTCTTTCTTTCTTTCTTTCTTTCTTTCTTTCTTTCTTTCTTTCCTTCCTTCCTTCCTTCC